CTCAGCAGCAGCCCACCCTTGCCCTGCGTGCAGATCCGGGGCCATACGCCCCGTACCCTCCTGGGGTGTGCGTAGTGACAGGAGCCACCCCCCCCACAAACCCCCTAGATGAGACACTTGTAGCTGTCCCATGCCTCTTCCCAGCTGTGTGCAACACTTGCCCCAGCCCCATTCCCTCCCTCACTGGGGGGGCTCGAGCTGCACCCCCACACACACCTCCTCTCTCCCTACCTCTTCCTCTACAACACACTTACCAGCTGAATGCTTCTGGGCTGTGTCAATTTTCCTTATATTGGTGCTGAGTGTGTGGGATGTTAGTTTCTGGATTCCTTGTTACTCAAAGCAAGAATTGCAAGGCTGATCCTGTCTCCCCAGGGTGGCAACACAAACACACACTGTCTCTTTGTTTGTCCACTACTTCTGTAACTTTCTCATCTCATACTGGCCAATCCTCAAGTTTCTTACCTCATCTTTTTAGGTAAATTACTCTAGTCCTATTTTGTTTTTGGTTTCCTTTTCTTTTAGGGAAACTACTGTACCTGGTTAGCCCGCTATACCAATCACACCACTCATTCTTCCCAGTGCCTGATAAAGCACTCTGTACAATTTAATTACTTAGTTCTAGGAAGGCCTAAAGTTATGCTAAGAGCTGGGCATAACTCAGTTTGCCCACTACAGCTGCCACTGTCTCACCTGGGGAAAGTTCTGACTTGTAGCTACTCTGTCTTGCAGATGATGAGGTGGCACGTTGCCCCGAGTCAGACCTCCTCTCTGAAACTGGCAGCGTCATGATGGCCAGTGATGCAAGCAGCAAATACTCTCACAGTAACTCGAGGATCTCTGTGTATGTGTTGCCTTCCAGACATGCCATGGGCCTCCCAGCCTTCCGTATGATGGTGGAAAAAATTGCAGCTCAGGGGGTGCTCTGCCCCTGCCCATGCCCCTCACTCCCGACCCACAGCCCTCTGGCCCTGCCAGTGCCCCTTGCTCCTGGCCTACTGTCACTAGGCCCCAGCCCCCCAGTGTGTGAGGAGTGGGGTGGGTGTGTGGGGAAGGGGGGAGGGGTTGGGCACAGGCGATGCGCTGGAGGGGCCCCAGGTGGTAGGGTGGGGTAGCATTTGCCCCCACAGCAGGCTGGGACCATGGTCCAGGCGGGATCCAGTATTGGAGTTGTGCTCCTGCTGCATTTTTCTCCTTTAAAAAAGAAAATCTGCGGTTTTCCATAGTGAATAGAAAGCCCAGATCTCTTTTGATCAGCATAAAAGGGTGGAATTGTACAGTCCCCTGGTTACGAAATGAAGATGAAGGGAGCTCTGTAGCATGAAGGGCACCTGGCAATCCCACACCTCAGAGCAAAGTGGTGATTTGGGGGATTCCTGGATAAATAGATGCCTGCAAATGTAGGGAGTAGATGTGATGCCCTAGGAGCCCTTTCCAGGCCTGGCTTTTCTCTTCTAGCTGCTCCTCAAAGAACCGGCGGAAGGCTGAACGCAAGAGGCACAGCTTGAAGGAGGGGAGCCCTCTGGAAGACGTTGCACTGCTGGAGGCCTTGGGGGACATTATCCGAGCCACAGATGCCCTGAAGGGTGAGGCTGTCTCCCTGGCCTGAGCCAGCATCCAGTTTGTGCGGGGGTGGGGAGCAGAGCCTGAGGCCAGACCCCTCCTCTCTCCAGCCTACTCACCCAAAGCAGGAGTCTCTGGACATGGCCGCTGCCAATTTCCAAGGAGGCTTGCCCCCTCCCTGAGCCATGTGGTAGACCAGGGCTTCCTGGCCAGGAGCAGGACATGCTGGTTGGCTCCTGCACTGAGGAACAGGATATGAGGCTTGGCCTTAGGGTCAGAGGAGCAGGAGGAATTGAGTGTATAAAGGTAATCACGACTCTTGGCATGTGGTCCTCATGTTTGCCCAGGATGCCTGGGCTTGGGACCAGGGAGCAGAGGATGCCAGGGTGGTTGCAGCAGTCTTCTGGTCCACCTCCCTCAGTCCCAGAGCCACAGCAGCTTGTTTGCAAACCTGGCTGATATCTAATGGAGTGCCTTCTGCTTCTTCCCCCAGGTGAAGTCCACAGCCTTCTCAAGGAACTTGTGCTGTTTGGCTATGATGCACAGGCCACAGAACTGCAGCAGGCCCTGGAGGAGGCTTTGCAGCTGATGGAGAGATCACTTCCTGAGATCTGGAGTCTGGACCTGAAGCTTACTTCTGTCAATCCAGTGAGTGTCTTCCCCAGCTACCAACAACCTGCTATTGTTGTTTGTGGTCTAAATAATTGTGGTGCTACATTGGGAGTGATAGGGGGATAGTGATAATCAGGCTACAGTTACCCAAATTTGAACCCCCTGCTGCAGCGGCTCCCCAACATGGGGCCCTGGTCTCAAAGGAGGCTGAGGCTGTTACAAGGGCAGTTATAAGTTGGCAGCCAGTTGTGGGGGGAGATTTTACCTTCTGTCCTCAAGTCCAGCTGCTTCAGAGATGTCATTCCTGCATTTTCCTTTGTGGAGGTGCCCTGGGGGTGTTTTCCATCTAAAACTGCCTGTTTGCCTTGAGCTTCTGCCCAGGCAGTGACCTCTGAATGCACAAAGCTCCCTGTCGTACCCGAGTTGTCTCTGTAGGAGTCCTGCTCAGCTTTACTTCCTGCTACAATTTACAGGGTGGAGAGATCTGTGGGGTGGAGGTTCAGCTGCAAAACTCTCATGCCAGCTCCAAATCTTGCAACAGCAGCACCTTTTGCTGTCCACCCCTACCCTGTGAGCAGCCTTGACTTTATCTGTAGATGGATAGATATAGATACAGGCTAATGGTGTCACTGCCTAGAAGGAAATTGTCGTAGGGGAAAAGAGTAGGAGCTCAGCCAGTTCCTATTACATGGGGGAGCACTTGCATCTTGCTGCCAATAGGCAGGTGGTAGAATATGCTAGCATCTTGGGTCTGAGGAGACTTTGGTTTTGAACTCTCATGTTGTGCTGGTACATAGCCTGAGATGTCATTCACATTGTCCGTTCTTACAGATCCTGGGTCCCCATTCAACTGCCAATAGCATCATGGCTGCATATCAACAACAAAGGATGACTGCCCCTGTTGTACAAGGTTGGTTAAAACCGTATGGTATAGCAGGTGTGGGATGGGAGGTAAGGTTTGAAACAACAGTGTTGCCTGCCCAACTGGGTTCTGGAGCCCTCCTAGTAGCACGGTTTGGGGCAGATGACCCAGCCTATTCTCTTTGCTTCTGGAAGTCCCTGCTAGTTTGTGCTGGCTTTTTGTTGTCCTAAATATGTATGGCACTTCCTAGGTGACTAGAAAGGCCAAATTGCTGCTCAGGGGACTGCAAGTATATGGATCCAAGGTGGTATTTTCCTTGGGAGGGTTTAGATACCATATACATACTTTTCTACTTATGACTGTTCTGCCTGTGAAAACATCTCCCTTTTAAAATCTGTTGTGAAACCACATTTGAACTTCCTCATAATGGAATCCAAGACTACCTGGTGAAATGATGGAACAGGAAGAGATTCCTCAATCATTTGAAAACTTATCACAGGATGCGTCTCTGACACTGTATTGGCGATTTCAAGCTAGGTTCCCAGCTACTTTGAGCTCTAGGGCCTGCCAGGATCCTGCCATTATTGGAGGCCTTATTGCTGTATCAGGCACTGAGCCAAAAGCACAAGTCTAGTCCATATTCTTTGTTCTGGTCCTGCAGATCTACTGTTGAGTGATCGTCTAACCAGGCGTTAGCCAGGATCCCATCCATCATCACTAGTTGGCTTTTAGGCTAAGGAAGCACTGCAGTTCATCCCAGCCCCCTGAGTTGGTGGTTAGGTATTGTGCAGTAGCATTGCAGAGCCAACTGTGTGACAGCAGTGTAGGGGAAGTATTTTCCCCGCCAGCAGTTGCCTACTAGGCTGTTATGGGTCACATCTTTGTGAGCCCACTGACTGCTGGGGTAAGTGTTGGACTTCTTCCCAGGAATGCTGCCAGGCCTGTAAAACATCTTGTAGATCTCCTGAGAATTCAGCTTGGTTAGGTCTCAGGTGAAGTTTGCAGGTTTTGTAGACAATGCAAACACTTCCCTTAGGTGAATGTGTCTAAGGTGCAGTAATGGAGATAGTGAACATGGATCCCTGCAGGATCACTTTTGGGATGCTTCTTAAGAGCACCACCTTGCTCTGAAGGGGAGAACAAATCTAAACCAGAGTGCTGGGTGGGTATGTATCTTACTGGCATGTTGGCCTGTCAGAGAATGTTTCCTTGCCATGCTGCAAAGTGGAAGCCAAGTAGTGGTGATGGAACCTGAAGAAAGGTTTGTATGTGGGACGAATCCTGATGAACGTGTGGCAGCCCCAGAGGAGTGAGAATGGTTCAGTTGTGAACATAACAGTATGTCAGACAGCTGCCTCCCACACAGTACTCTGCTGCATGCTTCAGGCCAGTCTCCCAGAAGAGAAATTCTTTGTTTGGTGCTTCTCAGCCTGGGAGGGAAGGAAGCACTGTATAGATTTTTCCATTATCCTGGAAACTTTATATAGCACCATCCTACTTTCCTCTTGTTCTCATCCTTGTCGCTTTTGTTTTTCCAGATCCAGAACTACTTACACCTCCAAAACTGAATAAAAGTCTCCAGTGGAAACTGAGCCTTCTGCAGTAACTCAAAAGCTATGAGCTTCTGATGGACTCTGGACTGTAATTTTATTTTAAGCTAATTACTTCCCCTTTATTTTGAAACCACTGTTCCTAGCATGATTTCCACTCCCTTCCTCCCGCCCCCCACCCCGCCCACGCGCACACACCATCCTAGAGGTCACAATCCCTCCTCTGGTAAATAGGCAGGGATGGTGTAGCTTTGTGTAAAGCGGCCCCCAGCATTACCGTGTGCTTTCAGCATCCACCATCCATGTTCCTCTGGCTTCATTGAGTAGTTCCACTGCATTGCCAAGGCAACCCCAGCACCAGTTGTCCTTCCACCATGAGTAGAATTGCTACCAAGATGATCTGAATTTTTTTAGTGTCTTAGAGAGTCAGGGGAACAGAACCCACAGTGACATTTTGCTAAGCTGGAATAGTGCAGCATTTACATATTAAAATGGACGTAACCAGCATGTCCACAACGTCAAGCTTGCCTTTAATTGTTCAGTGTTCACTGATTTGTAATGGGGAAATTGGCCAGGATCTGTTTTATCCTGAACCAGAGTTCATCCAGAATCAGTTCACTGGCTGTGGCAGTTACTGTGAACTGGGAAGTTAACGTCCTCAGCTGGCTGTGCCAGTACACATCACCACAACCCTGGAGCTGTGAAATTGGAAGTAGAATGTGGGCATCTCTGCAAACAGCCTGAGCCTGGATGTGGAGTATGAGCTCAGCACCTCCTGTTTTGCCCTACTCATGCACCTCTGTTGCTGTGGACAATATCTAAGTTGGGCAGTTTAATGCTAGCTTGGGTTGCTTCCGCACTCCCTTGCAGTCACTTCAGCAGCAGCTAGGTAAACATGCTTGTGGCACATTGTGTGGCATCAGAATAATGACTGATGGAGAAACATCTTCTAAACAATGAAGGTAATAAAGGCTCCAGTATTTAAACTGAATCTCTGAACTCACAAGTCTGCTTGTTGTGAGGAAAACTGGTATTTTACATGAAGGCTTCATAGGAGACTTTATCTGCAGACGGAGGGGTGGGCTTTGTAGTGGGGAATATCTGGATATTTCTGCCCAGCATCCTGGGGGATGTACTTGCCCCCAAATATGCCTCTCTTAGATACTTGCAGGACTTCACTCATCATCTTTGTGTGGCACTTCCATAGCTATATTGAAAAAAAAGTCTGCATCTAGCAATTCCACTTTTACTCAGTTGAAAACAGCCTGTGTGGTCCATACATGGAGCCCATTGGGAATAAACAGGTCAGCATTCAGTGCCCCAGCGTTCTGTGGTGTGGTCGGGCTTCCCTAAGTGCTGATGGTGCATTCTGTGTGCCATGGGATGCAACACAGATGCAGTTCTGCCTTGAGGATAATATCCCTTAAACATTAGATCATAAGAATTGCCCTTTGCTGGTCCATTTTGCCCAGAATCCCATGTCACACAGTGGCAGAGTGGATGCTGAAAAAGGAAGTAAACTGGGTATGACTAGGATTTGTTTTTTTCTCCATTCTTCTCACTTTCAACCTCCAGCATTTAAGGTATAGGAAGTTCTAATGCAGAGAGCTCTTCTAACTCTTTCTCACCACAGCAGAAGACAAACCTTAATGTGAGTAGGCTCCAGAATCAATTGCTGCCACCCCAAGTTGCTGCACCCCAGACTCCTCTCCTGGTCAAAGCTGTCCATGTGTCCTTCTCTCAGTTTCCCTGCAGTGATGCACTATCACCTTTTTCCCTGGGATGTTTGTTTCCTATGGGAGTTAGCAATAGAGCCTCTAAATTATAACTTCCTAGACCTTAAAGGCTGGTGGCTGCAAATGAGAGAGAAACAGCAGGAAAAAAAACAAAACCCTGGTCATAACCCAGTTCACTCTCCTTTTCAGCATACACTCTCTGCCACTTTGACACAAAATACTGGGCAAGTTGGCTTTCTGGTCTGAGTCAGTAAATGGCAATTCTTAGGTTCTTATGTTTCAAGAGTTGGGCACTAACGGGATGACAAAGTGGTTACAAGGATAGTCCACTGGGTCAGATCCATGCCACCTGTGGAATCCGGGCTCTTTGGCTGCCAGTGAGTATGTCTGGAGACATGTGAGAGCCCTGATCCCAGAGGGTGTTGGGGTTGTTCTGGGTCCAGCGTTGCTTCAGGGTTCAAACCAGGCACCAGAGAGGGGCAGGTCAGAAACTTGGGGAGGAAAAGAAGTGAACAATAAGGTCAGTTTGTGTGTGTAACACACAAAATGTACAAGCCATTTTATACAGCAAAGGTATTCTAGTTTCATGTTGCTGTATAAAGTTTAAATGTAACTGTGTTTGATATGTGTTTTTATTTGCTATATTTTGTCCCCTCTCTGTTGATCTGAGGAGAAACATGCTGTCCGAGCACATAAGCAGGAAAATCTTTTCTAGGTGTCCTGATACCTGTGGCTCTCTGTTTTAGAAACCTCTTGTGTCCTGAAGCTAGAGAAACTGGTCTCAGTCTGGTACAGCAGATGAGATGAGCCCCCTAGCCTGGTTGGCTAGACTGGGTGGTTGGTATTCTTTTAAATTACAGGCATACCTCAGAGATATTGCGGGTTCGTTTCCAGACCACCGCAATAAAGCGAATATCGCAATAAAGCGAGTCACACAAATTTTTTGGTTTCCCAGTGCATATAAAAGTTATGTTTACACTATACTGTAGTCTATTAAGTGTGCAATAGCATTATGTCTAAAAAAAAAATGTACTTTATTGCTAAAAAATGCTAACCATCATCTGAGCCTTCAGCGAGTCGTAATCTTTTTGCTGGTGGAGGCTCTTGCCTCAATTTGTAAAAAACACAGTATCTGCGAAGCACAATAAAGCGAAGCGCAATAAAACGAGGTATGCCTGTAATTGGTTGAGAGAGAGAGAGGGGCATAGAAGCCTGATAAACCTTGATTGGATACTTGGGGTGACATCATGCCAAGGTATATAGAAGTCTTTGAGCTGCAGCTAGAGAGAACTGGAGGTGGAGCTGAATGATGTGAGCTGGAACAAATGGCTCCGGGGGGGGGGGGGGTTTTCTGCACCCCCCCCCCCA